TATGGTCCTCAGATCAACAGCCACAGCATCGCCTGGATGTTTATAAGAAATGCATGCACTCAGGTCCCATCCTAGAGCAACTAAAACAGCAATTTGGGGAAGAAGCCTGGGATCCAGGTTTTAATTAAGTTTCTGGGAGATTCAGATGCAGGCTAACATTTGAGAAATGCTGATGATGTAAATAATCATCCATCCACTAATGGGTTTGGGACAACCAGTTGAGGACCACCTACAACCTGGATAGTTAAGATTACCTCTGGAAACAAGTATAGGGCTGGCCTGACTTCCTCTTGTGTAGAGAGGTAGGAGGGTCCGGCAGGGGTGATGTCATGTCAGCCACAGTATCCCAAGGACAAAGACTTGCCCAAGCAGATGATTTCCTGGGGTAGCAAGGAAAGAGAAAGGATGATACTGAGAGCAACTTATATGATTAGGAATGCCAAGGGTGGGAAGCAGAAATACTAAATCTTTTTAGAGTTCAATGTAAGGTCTGAGGCCAGACGCCCCCCCCCCCCCCAAAAAAAAAAACAAAACACCACCAACAAAAAACCACCACAACAAACAACAAAAAAACAATAGCCCTAACTAGGATTCTGAGACCATATGTAGAGGAGCCTGTGAAGTCTTGTGCTACTTCTATTGATGCACGAGTGTGATGGCCTGGCTAAAGGCGTAAGGGCAGAGAAAGAAGGGTGAGACTGAAATGGGCATGAAAGTGTGTGCAGTGTTTTAGGCTCCCCAATTACACTGCCCCAGCCATGACTTACTGTCCTTTTGTTCAAAATAGATGACACTGGACTATTCCCAAAGGATGCATTTCTCTGTAGTCTTAGTACTAAAAAGATATAAAATGATATAAAAAGATATAAAAGCCACAAGTTGAATATCTTAAAATTTAAGCTATGGTGAGAAATGAAAAAAAATCTCAACCCAAATGTAAGTTTTATTCTAATTGTACTTTATTTGTGCGGTTCTTTACACAGAAGGAACATATATTAGATATTAGCTGATTGGGGATTACAAATGAAAAACCCAACTTATCAAATCACAGTTATGATGGAAATATAATTTTGCAGAGTATTAAGGTGATTGAAATAGGCAGGACCATCATGAACAGGCAGGTCTGGGATGGTGGAGTCCCCAGAGTTGGACTCCCCAGAGTTGAAAGAACAAGTTAAGGGGGAGGGGCGGATGCTCCCAGTCAGAGCAGAAGGAGGGCTTCTTACTAGGAAACCTGCCTGGTCGGCATCAGTGGCTGTCCCATCACCAGCTCAAACTTCTCAGGGCCAAAGCAGAATCATAAATCACTCCCCGCGCCCTCCAAAATCCTTGTCATTTTACATGGCAGGCTTTACATATCCTATGGCCTTCAGTCAGAAGAGCTTCCCTCGCCCCTCCTAGCAAAAGGAAGCTGTACTTTACGTTGAGACTGTTTTCAGATTACCTTGCCTCTGAAGCCCTCACTGGTCTCTCAGTCCATTGTCCCCGCCACCCACAAACGACTTCTCCTTCACAATCTAAACCTTCTCCCAATATATGTGGGATGTTTATTGTTTTTTTCATTGATGAGAGAGAGAGAGAGAGAGAGAGAGAGAGAGAGAGAGAGAGAGAGAGAAAGAGAGAGAGAAACATGATGTGAGAGTGAAACATTGACTGGTTGCCTCCTGCACTCGCACTACAGGGGATCGAGTCCACAACCCGGGCATGTGCCCTAGTCAGGAATCGAACCAGTATCTTCTTGGTGGATGGGGCAATGCCCAACCAACTGAGTCACACCGGCCAGGGCAATATCTATTTTTAAAATGCATATTTCCCTGTAGCTGTTTATAAGTTTACTTCTCCCAATAGACCATGACCTATTTGAAAGTAAAAACAAAATTCTATATACTAAGCCCTTGGCACATAGTAAGAGCTTAACAATTATGTGCTAAAAAAAAATAGAGATGCAAAATAGAGATTCAGAATGATGGCCTTGCATAGAATTGTTGGAGAACGTAAAATAAGAAGACTTGGTGCAGAACTGGCACTGCCAGAGGAGAAGGCATTAGAGATGATCTCTCCCCTGACCTTTACTACTTAAGTATAAGCTTGAAGTAAGGTCTTTTGGGGAGGCCTGGAAGCTGACTCTAATCCCAAAAAGAGTGACAGGGAAAGATGTGCTTCATGAATTGTGACTTCAAGAGGCATTTTGGGTTGAAGGTAATGGTGTTGGGGTGGGGTAGAGAGGCCATGCCTTCATCTTAGAATTTTTTATCCTGAGATGGAGAGGTCTAGTCAAGAAATGGGGTATTGAGAGTAATGTCTGTCCTCTAGATAAGAGAGAGGTAAAGGGTGCATCCATTGTCCAATCTGCTAAACAAACTAGAATGTGGGCTGAAATTCTACTCGGGGTAAAAGAATTTGCATGTGGCTGGTACTCTCCATCGCCTCTCTCAGGAACAGAGGGCGAGACTCAAATGGCTACAGGGTGATAACTGAGTGACGCTGGCATGTGTGACAGATTAGACGTAGTGTGAAGTGAGGACAATAGGAGGCACTTCCTGTATCAAGGACCCCCACAAACTGCTACCCACAACCACTGTTCAGCTTCTGATGATAATTTCTATGTAGGAATATGGGCCCATGGTTGCCAGATCTCTCTTATTTTGATGAGAGGCAGAAATCCAGATATAGAATACAATTTCTCAATTTCAAAAGGTAGACAATGATCAATTTATTTTAAATTACACTAAATTACACTTGAGCTTGCATTGTACAGGCCAAACAATACACATCTGAAAGCTGAATCTGGATTCTGAGTTATTAGTTCATAATACACATGCTTTGAAAGGAGAAAGAGATACTCCAAGGGCCCTTATTCATTCATTCATTCATTCATTCATTCATTCATTCATTCATTCATTCAGAGGGTGGAATTTACTCAACATGATCCAGAGCTTCCCACTCATCTTCTTACCTGGCTCTGAACATGGCTTTGATACCCCCATGGACTTGTCTGCTCAAAATCTACCCTTCCATTAACATCTTCCAGGAGGAAGATCATCTAAACGTCTTAAAAACAGAGTATCAGCCCATTCACTGTACAGGGAATTCAGTTAAGGGCTGTTTTTCTTACTCAGTTAATAAAATAAAAGTAGGCAAGCATTAACATTTGGTGTACTCAGTTGGAGCCCGGAGAAGGGAGATATCTTACCCGAGCTTCCATAAAAAAGTATAAAGATTTGCCCACAGGCTATGTTAGAGAAATAAAAATCAAAGTGAAGTGCACTTTTCTTAAGATAAAAAAAAAAGATGGGTCTATAAAATTTCATTTCAAATATGTGGCACCGAGTGGCACTGGCCTAGATTTCCACTGGGCAAGTTTTCACCTACAAATACATTGACAGAAAACATTGCTGGGTGGTACATGGGGATGGTAGGCCAGAGGGTGGGTGAAGACGGGAGAGGCACCCAGAGGAATCAGAGAAATTCTCAGAGCAATTAGAGAAATTTTATTAAGTGACGCAGAGGCAGAATTGAAAAAACAAACTTAGTTGATCAAATGCAAGTTTAAGTGGATGTTATCAGCTCAAACAGTTTTTTTTTAAATACAGCAATATTTGTAAGCCCCAGAAGATAGATGGAAGCTGAAATGGTTTTAAATAAATTTTAACTCATTTTGCATTCACACAGTAGGAGAGGAAGGAGACAATTTTACTGGTTTACACGAGAAACAGTCTAAGGGTTTCCGTAGTAGAGAAAGAAGTTGGTTTCAGCTCAGACAGATTTTTTTAAGCTTCAAGGGGTTGTGTCTGGGCTAAGACAGGTGTGCTATTCCTGAAGTCCTACCAAACAGGGAGTGTCAAGATATTTCAGGGCTGCCCAGGTCCTGAGGGGCCCATAGAACTCAGACCATAAGCAACTATAAAGACCGCCTGCTTCTGGACCCCTTGCTTGTGATCAGCCTTCCAGATTGAGGAGTGTAACATCAGCACAGTTCCAAGTAAATTCTTCAAGGGGAGATTAAGAATCAGTGAGGACTGACTGACATCTGTGAGTGAGTGTGTGTGTGTGTGTGTGTGTGTGTGTGTGTGTGAGAGAGAGAGAGAGAGAGAGAGAGAGAGAGAGAGAGAGAGAGAGAGAGAGAGTGAGTTCTCATTAGGGGGCGATCTGTGATTTGCCAGCCTCGCTGCTCCTGCTGCTGCTGCCTGGCTGCGGCTGCATGGTCCGTCAGCACTTGAACAGGGCTGCGAGGGCTCAGAGGAACTGCAGTTCTGAAGACTGGGCACTGCTAAGTGGGCTCCCAGTCAAACAAAGTGGATGAGAATTCCTGCAGGTTTGGAAACTTGGACTTCTTCCTGCTTCATTCACCCAGAGAAGCAGGCAGCGCTACAGGAGAAAAGGTAAGAGAAGAGACTGCTCTTTCCTGGGTGGGTAGGGCAGGGGGCTCAAAGGAGATGGAGACTCAAAGGCTTGCTTTTTGCCTAGCAATGGGAATCTCACCCGCTGAGAGCTAAGGAGGCAGATGCTGATTTCCTACCGGGCTTGATCACTGAGCCCTTTGGCTCCCTCCACCCCATCTGTCCCCCCTCGTACCTTTTTTTATTTATACTTTCCCAAGCATCTGAGAGGTTTCTTGGTATCTATTTTTCAGTTAGCAGATATTGTTTAGTTTTTCCCTCTGAGCACTTTTTTAAAACAGGGAGCTTTTTCTGTGTCTCATTTCTTAAGCATTTTTCTCCATGAAACGGGTCCCTCTTACTATAAGCTGTTCGAAACAGTTTCTCCATCCTGCACTAAAAGGAGTTTTCAGAAGTATGCAGGAGCCCCATTCTGGCAGAAAAAGGGGAGGTGAAAGGAGAGGAGGTGAGGGTTTCTGGGCAATCCCTGGATTTGAGTGAGGCTGTGAATGAATGCGGACTATTGCTCTTCACAGGGGAAGGGAAACACTGTGATCAAGGCAGGACGCTGGAAAGAGAATGTTTTGAGAGGTGTCTCAGAGAAACTTCAAGCCACTGAAGATGGAGAACGAGACAGTCAGCGAACTGAACCAGACACAGCTCCAGCCACGAGCGGTGGTGCCCCTAGAATACCAAGTGGTCACCATCTCACTTGTGCTCATCATTTGTGGTCTGGGCATTGTGGGCAACAGCATGGTAGTCCTCGTGGTCATGAGAACCAAGCACATGAGGACCCCCACAAACTGCTACCTGGTGAGTCTGGCAGTGGCCGATCTCATGGTCCTGGTGGCCGCGGGCCTACCCAACATCACAGACAGTATCTACGGTTCCTGGGTCTACGGCTATGTTGGCTGCCTCTGCATTACTTACCTCCAGTACTTGGGCATCAATGCTTCGTCCTGTTCAATCACAGCCTTCACCATTGAGAGGTACATAGCGATCTGTCACCCCATCAAAGCCCAGTTTCTCTGCACATTTTCCAGAGCCAAAAAGATCATCATCTTCGTCTGGGCTTTCACATCCATTTACTGTATGCTCTGGTTCTTCTTGCTGGATCTCAATATTAACACCTACAAAGATGCTATCGTGGTGTCCTGTGGCTACAAGATCTCCAGAAATTACTACTCACCTATTTACCTAATGGACTTTGCTGTCTTTTACTGTGTGCCCATGATCCTGGCCACTGTCCTCTATGGATTTATAGCTAGGATCCTCTTTTTAAATCCCATTCCTTCAGATCCTAAAGAAAACTCTAAGACGTGTAAAAACGGCTCAACTCCTCAGAACAAGAATTTGAATTTGAAGACCTCTAATAGGTGTTTCAACAGCACAATATCTTCAAGAAGACAGGTAAGCAAATCTGAAAATCCAGGTCCACAGAGGAAATGTGGGCTAGAGTTCCTTGTGAGATGGGATCAACTTTGCCCTCCTTAGCTGATGCCTAAACCAAAATACAATCATGCAAACATTTCACAGTGTAAGCTTCTGCTTTACATAATAAATCCATCTCTAAAGCAACTGAAGATCTAAAAATAGATGGGGAGATGTTGATAGCACATCAGCGGGTACCAGTTTAGGTGTTATTAAAGTATAAGGAACTATAAACAGAAGCCCTAGAAATCCACCTTTAAAATGTTTGTGCCTCTCTGGGAAATGGTATCAAAATATTTATACCCTTTCTGGCTTCTGTAGGGGGCAGCTGGATATCTTTTAAGAATTCTATTGCACTGCAAAGATTTGATAAGATAGCTTGAGAAAAGGTGAGATAAAGCAATAATGAAACTTTTCCTACCCTTCTATAGTTGCCCACGACTGAGACACAGGACTGAGGGGGTTCCAGGACCTGCCTTAGTCTCAGTGGGAAAGATTTTATCACCCTCTACCCCTGCCAGGCCCCCACAAGTGTGTCAGCCTGCAGAAGCTGAGCATGCACTTTGCTCAGGCAATGTTCTGATAAAAAGTCTAACACCAAGCTCAACTTGATACACACACACACACACACACACACACACACACACACACACACACACAAGATTGCATTTTTTAAAAATGTATGTTTTTCCTACTAAAGCATCACTAAAAAGCCCTTTATGCTTTCAGATCATCTGAATCCCCAGGTGGCTACAGGTGGATAGTAGTTTCACTAGTGAATGAAGTACAACTTCAGTTACAGTAGATATGGTTTCTAAGAAAATATAGGAAAAATACATTTATATCAGGTACATATTTATCTATATTTACACAATTGTTCTAAGTTACTTATGAAGTCAGCTTTAAGTTCCTTCCTTTCTTTTTTAAACAGAATAAACACATGGTAAACATTTATGCTCACAGCTGTAAAAGAAATGAAATCAACAACACTGGCTCTTTCAAATAGTGTGTGTGTGTGTGTGTGTGTGTGTGTGTGTGTGTGTGTGTGTGTAGAATATAATTCTTCCTGTGTACATAGATAGAAACTGAGTGTACCTTGAAAGTATGCATATGGATCATCTATTTTAACTCTAGATTAACTGATATATGAAGAATTATAATTGGAAATGTGGGCACAAGTGCAACAAGCTACTAATAAATGTCTGTGTTTTAGGTATACATGACATCAATAATGAACTGTAACTGAAAAGAAATATTTACAGCATTTTAAATGATACTGCGGTAATTGATTTATATAACTTCAATTATTGAAGATATTTAGATTATAGAAAGAGAAGACCTGGACAACTATTAGATTCCTATTGCTTTGGGTCTAGCAGTACTACCTAATACAAGGCATATTTGGCCATCTAGTACCCAAAACTTGATTAAGGGAAATTCAGAGAGAACCGCTGACCATCTGCCAAGACAAACATTAAAAAATACAGTAAGATAGTAAAGCATATGTACATCTCAATTAGAGACCAATCGTGGGCTAATGTCTGCAGCAAAGAAGGTCAGTGAGTAAATTTATTCATTAGACTCCAATTGATATTCTTGTTATAAGATCTGAAATATTGCTTGTCTGGTCTAATATTTCCTTCCTTTCAATTACAGTCATTAGTATTGAACAGCATTAAATTGTTAATTCTGTTACATATGCACACTCTTATTTCAAAGCTGTTAAAGATAGGCTGTCTTTACAGAGGCCGTGTGGCAGAAGGAAAAGGGAAAATTTTGGCTCCAAACAATCCTGAGCTTAAATGCCAGGGTTCTAATCAAGTTGTGTGATCTTGGAGAAGCAGAACTCTCTGAGCCTCAGTTTTCTCATTTATAAAATGAGGGCAAACAGCAACATCCAGGATTGTCTATCTTATGAAAGACACCTAAAATGGCATGATAATTAACATCTGGGTGTTAATTAACCTCCTTCATAATTTTCTAGCATGCTGACAGCTATTAAGAAAAGACAGCCAGTCAGAGAAAGACAAATATCATGTAATATTTGTCTTTCTCTGACTGGCTGTCTTTTCTTAATAGCTGTCACTTACATGTGGAATCTAAAGAACAAAATGAGCTGACAAACAAAATAGGACCAGAGGCATGGATAAATGAACAGACTGACAGTTCTCAGAGGGGATGCGGTGGGGAGGACGGGAAGAGATCAACCAAAGAATTTATATGCATACATGAATAGTCCATGCACATAGACAATAATGTGGTGAAGGCCTGGGGTGGGGGTGAGGTGGAGGCAGGGTGCAGGGGGGCAAAAGGGGGAAATATGGGGGAAATCTGTAATAGAGTCAATAATAAAAAAAAAGAAAATACAGATTTATTCTTAAAAACATACATTTGCCATTTAAACAGATTATTTGTTAAACAAATGTGTAATCATACACTACCTTCTTTAAAGAAACTTTTAATAATTAGGGTGTTTGGAAATGTACTCAGAGCATTTAGGATTGTCAAAATAACATCACCGTCAGCTAGCATCTGGAGCCAGGGATGCCAAATGTCCTGGAATATGCAAGACAGTCCTGCGCAAGGAAGTGCCTTGTTACAAATGCCAATAACACCCTCAGAAAGAAGTATGGGATGACATATGAATCAATAGAATCATATTTAAGTACTGTGTCCTGTCACTTAGCCCTAATTATAGATGGGATTGGAGTTCAGAGAAAAGAAAGGAAATTTTGAAGCAAGAGACATCAGAGAAGACTTCACAGAAGAGGTGGCATTTGAGAAGGCTCTGGAAAGATGGGGATAATTTGGAAAATGAAAGTCAGGAGGGACAGCACTCCACACAGAAAGGACCTGGCTGGGATGAGAAGGGTATGGGTTTGAAGAGAAGATAAGGGGGAGCACATAGAGTGGGATTTTTACAGGATGGATTGACTTTGTTGACCAAAATGAATGAGGTATTTGGGCGAGTAGTAAAGAGTAAGATGGGATCGATAGGAGTGTGTGTGTGTGTGTGTGTGTGTGTGTGTGTGTGTGTGTGTGTGTGAGAGAGAGAGAGAGAGAGAGAGAGAGAGAGAGAGAGAGAGAGAGAGAGAGAGGCAAGCTTTGGAGGATTTCAACTATCAGGTGGAAAAAGGAGACTGAACTTAGTGCAGAGGCGACAAAATGAGAGTGATCAGCAGGAGCAGCAGGAGGAAAGTGGTGTTGAGGATGATGACTGGGACAGCTTGGACGAGGCAGGTTTGGAGGACGAGAGATGGCGGCAGAAAGACCACTCTGAAAGCTGGTGGCAGTGATTTGGGAGTGAGGCTGTAAGACTTTCTATCAGAAAAATTTAAAGTAAGGTGAGGAGATGTTTCGAAGAAAGAAAGGGTGAGCTTTGTACATATTAAATACAAGCGATGCAGAGAGGCCATTCAACGTGGATCAGTGTTCTGAGTCTGGAACAACGATGGTGCCCCGGATAAATGGGAATGAGAGTCATGAAGTTTTGTCCACAATCAATGACCTTTATCTAGCCTTTTCTTCTTCTGAAGTAATTATTTTCTTAAATCTTTGAAAGTTCAAATCTCCACCTTCTATGACCCATGGACTTCTATTTTAATATTTTCTCTGCATTTTTTTCTTTCTTTCAGGCAAGTTTAATCCCTGTTTTAATAAATATTATGTCCAGGCCAGGTCTTTCTAACCAAGTTATTATAGTCAAATATGCTTAGCCTAAAAGAACTACAGTTAAAAGGGAAATAAAAGAGCATTGTATGTAAGAGACAAATGTGAGTTTTTGTTTGTTTGTTTTCAACTTATATCCTCTATGCAGGAAACCTAGGCCAGGTTCTTTCTTGTTCCTACTACTCAGAGATTTAATTACATTTTAGGAAACTAAATAAATATTTGGTAAATCCAATGAAGTAAATTATTCAAACGAATGGCTTGGAATTGCATAGACAAGAGAACTCTCTGATTGACTAAATCTTTTGCTTACAATTAGTTGTTTTGATATTGAGGAGACACAGTTTAAATGATCAGTTTGTTACATCTCAGCTGTATCTGCACAATGGGAAAACACTCTCCCAGTTCAGTCGATTCAGATGTTCGGCATTGTGTAGATAAAATATCTCTATTATTGACTGTACATTTCAAAGGAACTGATTGGAACTTTTGGCATTCTGGAGGCAACAAAAACGTGTGCTTCCGAGGGCTATCATATGGATAAACACAATCCATTCAAACATTTGCTTTCCATGGGATACAGGGGTCTGCACAATACTTTAGTGATCACGCCACCAATTTTAATTTCAGTTGAGTCACTGTAGCTTTCTTTTCTGTTAGCATAGCTGGTGGGGGAACTGTAACATAACCCAAATAGAAGCTTTAACACTTTATGGCCAAATTTTCATTATGGGTTTTATGTGACTAAACATGCCTATAAAATACCAAACAGTCTTTGTGTTCATAAATTTCTTAAATGCCTTCTACGTTATTAGAAGAATGTTGGTATCCAAGAAACAAAAGCATTTTTTTAAAGGAATACATGCCTTTTGTTGCTGTTTCCTTTGTTACCACAATGACAACATAAAAGCAATCATGTGTCTTATGAAAAAACAGAGAAAACTAGGAATAAGAAAAAAATATCCTTTACCCCACCTCTCAAAACCACAGTTTATTAGTATTTAGTTATATTGTTTTTCTGATATTTTCATTGCTCTTTTTATATTATTGCATATATACATAGTATATATAATTTTGTATCCTGCTTTTACATAAAAATGTTAAAATTATTATTCTCAAAGAGAATAGCACAGAAAAAAATGAGAAAGACTGTGAGTCCATTTCTCTCAACCTCAGTTTCCTTATCATTAAAATGGGAATAACAACTACTCATAGAGTCACTGTTCAAACTGAGTCAGATGCATCAGACAAAACTCATGTTGCTCTCCTCCCACCTGCTCCATCAGCTATCTTCCCTCACTCCTGTCCGC